TCTTCATTTGATGTTCTAGGGTTTCAGGATTGTTGATTCTCTGTTTGGCTTAGTTTTTCGGATCTTTGTTGTGGAGGGACGGCGTGGTGTTTCTGCCTAGAGCGCCATCTTGCCGGAAGTCAATATAATCATTATTGATGTTTTATATTCTTGTTCTCATATTAAGTCTTTGAAATCCAATGTGCATTTTCAACTTACAGCACATCTCAATTTAGACATTAAATATTCATCAGAGATTCTTGATCTGTATTTATATTTCATAAAATTTATATTTGAAAAAGCAGATTCACATAACCAAGCTGTTCTAAACATACTGAAAAGTTAACCAGTGACTGAATCAAGTATCAGTTTTTAAATTTAAATTTAATTTAATTTCTCATTCATACAAGGCATATTTCTGGTGCTCAGTAGCCACCTGTGGCTAGTGTGCCCCATATTTAACAGCACAGGTCTAGACTGTAAGCGCAAGGTGGGACCTCAGGTATCAGACAGCCCAACTCCCCATTTGATAGATAAGAAAATAAAGGTACAGAGAGGAGACGGGACCAGTCCAAAGTCACCTACTGAGGAGGCTACTAGGAGCCAAGAAGGTTGGGTTCTGGCTTGGCTTCTACCCTTACTAGCTGAGTGGCCATAGACAGAGTTTTATGGCATGGAGCCTTTCACAAATGGGTATTGCCCCTGCCCTGCTCCCTCATAGGAGGATGGAATTACATAATGGATATGTAAGAGACTTGTAAGTGGCAAGGCCCCTGACAAGCAAGAGATCTGTACTCCAGAATCCTCGCCACTCATTGCTGTAATTCTTGGGACTGTACAAATATTAGCCAGTCTGTAAGTCAGGGCTCAAAAAAACTACAAAATGATTTAAAAACAAAACAAAAACTACAAAATGATAGTAACTATCTTTTAATGGACCAAGAATAATAATTGTTATTGACAATGACCACCACACCAACTAGATTGTACATTCTTTTAGAACAAGGATTACTTTCTACCTCTTGAGGCTCCCTCCTGAGGTAAGAACTCCCATAACACTAGCTGGTTGTTGGAGTTCTGCTCTTGGTGACTGCCGTCCAATCTCCCATCTAGGTTTTTAGGATGATTGAAGAACGCCCCACACATGCCATTACTGTGCGCGTTTCCTACCTGGAAATCTATAATGAGACACTGTTTGATCTCCTGTCCACCCTGCCCTATGTTGGACCCACAGACACACCAATGACCATCGTGGAAAACTCGCAAGGGGTCTTCATTAAGGGCTTGTCAGTCCACCTCACAAGTCAGGAAGAGGATGCATTCAGCCTCCTTTTTGAGGTGAGATGATCAATTCTAAGGGTTTCTTTCTCTCTTCTCTTTCCTGTCTCCGTCTCTCTCTTTATCTACCTCCCTTTGTCTCCTTCTTTTTCTTCCTCCTTTACCTCTCCCTCCTTTCCCCTTAGTGTTTTATTTACTTTGATAAACAGAATGAAAATTAATATATGCTCATTTAAAAAGTTCAGGTAGCACTAAAAAAATAGACGAACAAAAAAAGAATTCACAGACTAACTTGAAACGTAAACTTCATTTAATTACAACAGTAAAAAAAAAAAAAATCACTCATAGTCTGTTTTCTACATAAGGCAACAGTACTGTCTATTTTGGCTCATTTCCTTTGCCTTTGTTCCTGTGCAGTTTTTTCTTTACATAGTTGAAATTGTCCTTACATCTTTTTTTTCCAGTTAACATTTAATCATGAGCATTTGTAGTATAAAAAAATAAGGATTAACGTCCTTGGTATATCAAGAGTTCTTACAAATCAACAGAAAATAAAAAATTCCCCCAAACCAAACCTATTGCCTTGCAGTCGACTCTGACTCATAGTGACCCTGTAGGACAGAGTAGAGCTGCCCTATAGGGTGTCCAAGGCTGCAATCTTTATGGAAGCAGACTGCCACATTTTTCTCCTGCAGAACAGCTAGTGGGTTCGAACTGCCAACCTTTTGATTAGCAGACGAGCACTTAGCAACCACTGTACCACTAGAGCTTCTAGTAAAAAAAAAAAAAAAAAAAAATTCCACAGTGTATGTTATTCTTTTTAAAAGTCGAATAGGCTGGAACTCTTATACATTACTGGTGGAAATGTAAAATGGTGCAGCCACTTTGGCAGTTTCTTAAAAACCTAAACATAAATTTTATCGTAGGACCTAGCAATTCCACTCCTAGGTATCCACCAAACAGAAATCAAAGCATATGTCCACACAAAGACTTGTATATGACTGTTCATAGCAGCATTATTCAAAAACAGGAAATAACCCAAATGTCCATGTACTGGGAATGGATAATGAAAATACAGTGGAAAACTATTTGTGAGTAAAAGGAATGGAGTACTGATACATGCTACAACATGGATAAACCTCAAAAATATGGTGGCACAATGATTAAGAGCTGGGCTGCTAACCAAAAGGTTGGCAGTTCAAATCCACCAGTGGCTCCTTGGAAACCCAATGGGGCGGTTCTACTCTGTTCTATAGGGTCGCTGTGAGTCGGAACCGACTCAACAGCACATAACAACAACAAGTGACATAAGACAGTCACAAAAGACCACATATTGTCTCATTCTTCTGAAATGTCCAGAATAGCCAAATCTATAGAGACAGAAAGCGTATCAGCAGTTGCCTAGGGGAGGGAGCGGAGTGGGAAGTGACTGCAAATGGGCCCAAGAGAACTTTATGGGGTGATGCAACAGTTCTAAAACAGGATTGTAGTGGTGGTTGCAGAACTCTGTAAATTTGCTAAAAAATCATTGACTCTTAAAACATTGAAATCTGTGGTATTTAAACCATACCTCAATAAAACTTTAAAAAAAAAAAAAGCCACAGTGAAGTCCTCAGGGTGATTTATGCCTGACTCTCTTGCATCTACAGGGAAGAAAGAACCTCCCAGGTAGCAGTGATTTGGGCATTCTTTTCTTACTGTACTCCTAACATTTTACCATGAAGAATGATGTTGCTGTAGGTTTTCAGTGGCTGAAGGGAGGTTAAGGAAATTTTCTTCTGTTCCAAGTTGTGAGTGAAGAGTTTTTATCCTGAATAAGTATTTATTCATCCCCCCCAGAAGTAGCCACTCTCCCGACATCTGTGGTAGTCATTTACTTGGTTTTGTTTATAGCTTTACCACCTATACATACTTCCTTAAACAGCATAGTTTAATTTTTTTGAACTTTATATAAAAGAAATCATGTAGGATGAGTTCTGTTATGTCTTGTTGCTTTTTACCTACTTACTAAAATTCATCCATGTTGTTGCTGTAATTTTTTTTCATTTTCATTATTGTATTCCATTATAAATATACTATAATTTAGTTATCCATTCTACATCTGATGGATATTTGAGTTTTCCCAATTTGGGGATATTACAGACAATGCTATTAGGAACTTTCTTGTATGTATATCTTGGTGCACATAAACATAGCTTTCTCTAGATAAAGCTGAGGACTGAAATTGCTAGGTCATAGAGTATATGTGTCTTAAGCGTCCCTAGATGATGCCAACTATTTTCCAGTATGGTACGTTCCCACCAGCAGGTTATTAGAATTCCCATAATAACTTTAAATTGACCAGTCTCATCAGTGTGTAGTGGTATCCCACTGTGATCTTGATTTGCATTTCTGTGACCACCAATGAGATTAAGCTCCTTTCCATGTATTTATTGGCCATTTGGATTTTCTCTCTTATGAAGTTCCTGTTCATATCTTTTGTTTATTTTCTTTGCAGGTGTCTTTTTCTTTCTTATTTATGGGAGTTCTTTGTATATTCTGGAAACCAGCCTTTTTTTAGTTATATGTGTTACAAATATATTCTATATCCTGTGGCTTGTCTTTTTTTCCCTCTTTACATGGCATTTGATGAACAAAGTTTTTAATTTTAAGTTAGTTGAATGTCTATAAATTTTAGAAGAATTTTAAAAAATCTATTCTGATATCTTTTAAGACTTCGTTCCATCTACATTTAATGTTATTACTGATGTATTTGGGTTTAAATCTGTCATATAATGTGTGCTTTCTCTTTGTCCCATCTGTTTACTTTTTTTTTTTTTTTTTAAACTTGTTTTACATTCCCTTTCTTCTAGCTTATAAAAGAGGTTTGCCTGGATGGCCCACCTCATGGCATCGATATGAGGTCACTTGTGTAGCTGTTGGTGATGCAAATAACTTGCTATTTTAATTTTTCAAAATGTTATCTATGTTTTCCTTCCTCTTCAGGGAGAGACCAACAGGATTATAGCCTCCCACACGATGAACAAAAACTCTTCCAGGTCACACTGCATTTTCACCATCTACCTGGAGGTAGGTGCAAGCTCTTGGAATGACCTAGGAGGTACGGTCAATTCCTGTGGAGCCTACTCATTCACAAGCTTCTCCCTGTTGAGAGTCTAACCTCACTTTGAGTGTTTCATAGGCTCATTCGCGGACCTTATCAGATGAAAAATACATCACTTCCAAAATTAACCTGGTGGATCTAGCAGGCTCGGAGAGGCTGGGGAAGTCTGGGGTAAGTGGGAGAAGCAAGAGGTTCCTTCTCAACAAGCCATGGGCCCTATTTCTGGGCTAGTACCTTCGCATGTTGGCCATCTCTCATTGGATATTTGTGAACAGGAGTGACACAGCATGTGGGCTTGACCCTGAGGAGCTGGAGGCACAGAATTAGCAGAGGGTAGAATACCTGCTACACAGGGCAGTTCTTACCTCCCAGGATTTTTGTAAAGATTCAACGAGATGATGCCCCTTAAATTTTTAGCAAGGTGCATGGCACTCAGTAAATGCTTAGTAGTAAATATTCTGTGCTACTATTAGTGTTTCCCTGCATACGTATATGAGTATTCACATGAATATTTGTGTGAGTATGAGTATTAGCACAAGTATTCACAAGAATATTCAGATGAGCATTTGTGTGTACTTTCATATGAGTGTATTTGTATGAATATTCATAGATTATTTGCTGGAATATTAGCACAAGTATCTGCATAAGTATTCCTGTGTGTATTAATGTTAGTATGAATCTTTGAGTATTCATATGAATATTCATACAAATATTCATATTCACTTTAGCGTTCACATGAGTATTCCTATGAGTATTAGTTTTTCCATCATTAGCCCAAGATGGGATACAATCCTATGACACTGAGGGAAGGCCCTGGTTCAGTGAAGGCAGCTCTGGCCTGGCCACACACTTGCAGCAACACCCTGAACCAGAAAGACAACGGTTCTTAACAGGGCTTTTGATTTGTAGTCCGAAGGCCGAGTCCTGAAGGAAGCCACGTACATCAACAAGTCACTGTCATTCCTGGAGCAGGCCATCATCGCCCTCGGGGACCAGAGAAGGGACCACATCCCCTTCCGGCAATGCAAGCTCACCCACGCTCTGAAGGACTCGTTAGGTGAGGGTGTGGTTGATGCACAGGGCAGAGGGTCTGAGCCCCAAGGAGGGACAGGCCTGGCACCTCTGCCATTGGTGGCAATGGAATCGCTCCCTCCGTTACACAGACTGATGTGCAACCCTTTCACGGTGACCTTAGACACACGTGACACAGCAGAATCAAGAACCATGCCCTCTTATGCCCAGAACATGCCATGCTGCTCACTCCTCGAGACCTTTGCCCGAGCTCTTGCCTTTACCAGGAATACCTTCCCTTTCCTCCTCATCCCCAGACTAGCTGGCAGCATTCTTCACAGCCTTGAAGACCCAGGTGGAGGGCCTCTCCCATGATGTCCTCCTTTCCCCTGCAGCCTCCATGACAGAAAAGCAGGGGCTGTGTCTTGTTATCCGTTTGTCCCCAGCCCTTCGTGTTGGGCCTGATAACACAGTAATTGGTGTCGGATTGTTAACTGAGGGCCACCATGAGCAAAGCCCTGGCTCACACTCTTCTCCCCCAGCCCTGTGCCTCCCTGCTCTACATCATCTCTCCTCTGCTGTTCTCCCCTGGCTCCTCTTTCAGGTATGTGTGGCTTTCTCTCTCCCTTCATTCTCTCTTCACCTTGCCTCCCAGCCTCATACATGCTTGGTGTGTCCTCTCTGACACCCCCCCCTCAAGGGAGTCTCTTGGCAGAAAACCCCCGTGGCTTACCACCCATCTGTGTACTGCTTTCTGCAGGGGGAAATTGCAATATGGTCCTCGTGACAAATGTCTATGGAGAAGCCTCCCAGTTAGAAGAGACGGTATGTAAAAACCAGCTGATCTGATCAGGTTGGAATCCCTCCTCATGGTGCCAGGGCTGGGTAAGGCTGGCTCCTGGCTGGTTAACCTGGCACATTAGCCATAAACATTGTCAAGAGTGGAGATGTCCAGAGGGTGAGTCAGGGCCAAAATTGCTAAGAGAGGCCCAGAGCCAAGATCCAAACACCAAGCACTAAGAAGCAGAAGCTGTGTGAGGAAGACGGCAAAACAGGGGATTAGGCAAGGAGAGGGGGGGAGGCTGAGAGGGGCTTTGTGGGGTGCAAGGATGCTGCTTCCTGGGGTGCTGCTCCTGTAGCTGGGGACCAAGCAGGAGAGTTGGTTCCTTGTACTTCATAATCGCAAGTGTTAAACATCTTGAAACCACCACAGGCTTCCAAGCTGGGTTATAACGCTGATGTGAGCAGATAGGTGTTAAGCACTGCCATGTGCATGGTAGGGAGAAGCAGCTTGGTAGAAATGAGTCGCACGTGGCCTTGAGCCCCAGCATACCCTGTCTAGGAAGGGAGATAAACCATGGCCCTGAGTAGTAGGAGAAGCCCAGAGGGAGGAACCCTTCAGAGGAGGCTGGAAGGATTAATCCCGTAGCAGGGGTGGAGGTGGGCGGGCACTGAGCTGGGGTGAAAGGATTGGTGGTAGAGTTGCGCGGAGATGTTCCTGGAAGAGAAGATGGTGGGACCGAAGGCATGGCCCAATGAGGAATATCCCAGCCTACTGCAGCGGAAGGTTCAGGCAGGGGAGGAAGAAGAGAGGACACTGCAGGGGCTGGACGGGCCCTGGTGGCCAGGCCGAGGCCTTGGCTCTTCTGCAGGTGGCTGGAGCTGTCAGAGGGGTTGAATAGGGGAGGGCTGTGGCCAGAGTTGTGACTCAGTGAGAAACTCGTGTGAGTCAGAGGCAGGAGTAAGGGCCAGACACAGGCCTGCGGCAGCAGTGCAGGTGAGTCCACACAGCTGGGCGCCTCCCAGCGGGGGCTCCCTTCTTGCACTTGCCTCTGAAGTGTCACTCATCATATATAAGACAGCTCTCCTTAGAAATGTTGCTTTTGAAGTGTGAATGTTTAGGGTAAGTTTCAGTCATGTGAAGAATGTACTGACATGAAACAGGTCATTTCCAGGAATGCTGTGGGGCAAGACACTCCTGCAGGACCTTCCAGCTGTGTGCATTAGGGACCGTCCCAGCTTCCGGGGGAATGCTCCTGCTACACACCCATCTGCGGGGGGGAGCTGCAGCTGATGTGCAGACAGCATCCGTGAAGGAAGGGTTCAGGCACCTCCTGGTTTCATCTTATAACAAAGTATAGTTGAACCCCAAGGGGGAGGCCATAAGAAACTTGGGCCTCCTGGCTGCCTTCTTAAGAAGAAAGATGTCCTCTAAGACAGTGGAAACCCTCCCTTCTCTCCTTATTTCTCCCTCCCCCTTGACGGTCACAGCACAAGCAGATGTCCTGGTACCTGCTGCCCCCAGAAGTTTGTGTCCATACATCTCAGGGTTTCTGCCCAGGGCTGAACCTATAGAGCCCAGAGGGGCTACTGGAGGAGTCTCAAAAGTTTAGGATGGTGGAGAGCTGACTAATGTCTGTCTGGTCTGTTTTCAGCTGTCTTCACTGCGGTTCGCCAGCAGGATGAAACTGGTCACCACTGAGCCTGCCATCAATGAGAAGTATGATGCTGAGGTACTAAATCAGCTCCCCTCCACTGCTGTCCAAATCCCAGGGCACTGGGTGTGTGGCAGGAGTGCTCCTCCTGGAAGCTGGGATGGTCCCTAATGATGCAGGCCAGCTGGGAGGCCCTGCAGCAGTGAGGTACAGACACGCCCCTGTGGGGAAGGTGTGTGGGTTTGCTGCCTGGGTCACACGAGCCTGGCTTCTCTTCCTGCCTCAGGCAGATACCCATGTGGACTTGGGTCTCTTTCCACTGTAGAATAGACCAGTCTTCAGAGTCCCTGGAGACCCTTAGGGGCCACAACAGAAGTGAAACGGGTTGGTCATGCTACCACTGAGTCATGTGTGGGGCTCGAGAGACTCTGAGTACCCTGAGTTCTACATGAGATTTCGTTAGAGCTCTGTCACAGAGCTAAATCAGTGTGAACCATCTCTCAGACTTGTCTGGTTGTGTCATTAAGAACTTTTGCTGTGGGTCTCCCCTTATTTTAGTGGCCTCTTCCCCCACGTGCCTGGAGGGATGGGTATCACACAGAGCTGGGCTCGCACAGAGCTAATCCCACAAACATGAAGGAATCTCCGGAACTCTTTCCCCATGCCAGGGCTGCCTGTGCCCAGCACATCACACAGAGAGCCCTTTGCCCCTTCCCCTCACGAGGAACATGGCGGGCACTGAGCACTTCTCCCCTGCCCTGGGTGATCAGAGAGGGGAGGTGGAACACTCTCTCAGATGCTGTACAGATCTGCTGGTCCAGTTTTGGAGGGGCAGGGGTTGAGGCCCCAGCACTTTGGGAGGCCTCTGGAGGAGGCATGGCTGCCGGGGAGAAGGCAGGTCATTATGGAGGGAAAGCGTTGCCACCGCGCAGCAGTTATAGCCTCCAGAGAGGAGCAGAGGAGGGTGGTGCAGGCCTGGAGGGTGTTGGGTCCGTAAAGGGAGAAGGGCATTTGGAGGAGAGAGGGAAAGAGGGGACAGTGTTGTTGGCAGAGGTGTGGAGGTGGAAATTCTGTTCTCTTTCCCTAGAAGAGAGGTGCAACGAGGGAGGAGGGATTGAGATTTTTGTGTTTTGTTCTTAATTTTTTACTATGGAAAACTTCAAACATATACAAAGAGAGAACAATTTAATGAGCCCCCTTGTGCTCATCATCCACTTCAGCAATTATCAACTGCTGGTCAGTTGTTCCACCTGCCACCAAACCAAACCAAACTCACTGCCATCGAGTCTATTCTGACTTATAGTGACTCTATATATAGGACAGAGTAGAGCTGCCCCATGGAGTTTCCAAGGCTGTAAATCTTGACGGATGCAGACTGCCGCGTCTTTCTCCTGCAGAGTGGGTGATGAGTTCGAACCTCTAACCCTTTGGTTCATTGCCGAGCATTTTAACCACTGTGCCACCAGGGCTTCTTCATGTGCCCTCACCTCTATTATTTTGAAGCAAATCTCAGTCATTTCTCCATTCCATCCTTAAATATTTCAGTATGTAAGGAGGATCTAATTTTAATTATTCTGCCCACCTTTGAGTCTGCCCAGGTTCCAGCCACCCAGGCTTCTACTACCTGTCTGCCAGGGAAGGGGAGGTGGTTATTCCCAAGTGCCTGGGGCCAGTGGCCCTGCATGGGTCCAGGACCCCAAAGGATACACCATTAAAGGAGCACTTTAGATCGTCCCTGAAGAAAAAAGAGACCCTCTCAGCCACCACTCACTGATTGATGCTCACTGCTCTTTCTTCCAATGAGCCCTGGTGGCACAGTGGTTGAGGCACTCAACTGCTAACCAGAAGGTCAGCGGTTTGAAACCACTAGCGGCTCTGCAGGAGAAAGATGTGGCAATCTGCTTCCGTAGAGATTTACAGCCTTGGAAACCCTATGGGATTGCTAAGAATCAGAATCGACTGGATGGCATTGGGGGTTGGTCTCTCCTCCATCCCTGTGGCTGGGTTACTCCTCTTCGGGCCACCAGTGCTTCATATGGGGCTGGTGCAGAGCAGGCACTCACCAAATACCAGCTAAATGAATACACTACACTTGCTGGTTAACTGAAGGCCCAGTTGGAGTAAAACAGGTCCGTCTTTCCCAAAAGGTGCAAACTGTGATGTTGCAGCTGCTAGGAACACAGGAGAAGTTGGCCTTTCCCCCTTGCTGACTCCAGAGCCTGAGTAACCCCTCCAGGCAAGCAGAATTGACCAGTCAGGGAGTGTTCAGCATCACCATTAACCAGGGAAATGCAAATTAAAATCTCAGTGGAATAGCACCCATTCCCAGACTAGCAAAAATTAAAATTTTCCTGACAATATAAAAATGGTGGTGACACTGTGAAAAAATAGGAACTCTCATCCACTTTAGGTCAGAGTTTACTTGATACAGCTGTTTTGGGGAGCATTTTGGCAACGTGTAGTAAAGTTAAAAAAAAATGCTTTTACCAATAATTGGCTTCCTTTAAGATGCTTATGGAATACTAGAGACAGGAGCATATGCATGCCCTAAGCCCATAACAAACCAATTAAACTTTCCAGACTGTAAATCCTGAAGGAAAATGGCAGTCCCTGTGGCTGCGTGGAATTAACCCATGGTTTAGAGGTTGGAGAGGGAGTAGAGCTGTGATTCTCAAACTTGAACGGGCATCACAATCACGTGGTGGGCTTTTTGAATCACAGGCCACTGAATCTACTCCCAAAGTTCACGATTCACTCGGCCTGGGGTGGGGCCTGTGGATTTGCATTTCTAACAAGTTCCAGGTGATGCTACTGCTGCTAGCCTGGGGGCCATGCTTTGAGAACCATTTGGCATAGTGGTTGAGTGCCTTAGCCCTGGATTGGGCTGTGCTGGGTTCAACAACCTTCTCTTTCCTTCATTAGCTGTATAGCCTCAGCAAGTTACCCTTTCTAAGGCTTAGTTTCTTCATTTTTAGATTGGGAGAAATAACAGAATCCATTCTCAAATAGATCTTGTGAACAATAAGATAATGTGTGGGAATCTTTGACCACAGTGGTCAATAAATATTAGCTGGTGGAAAAACACTTTACCCACTCTACAGACCAGCACTATTACTCCTAGGTATATAACTAGAGACATTCTCACATATATATGTAAGGAGACTTACAGAAGTATGGTGCTTGCAGTGTTTATTACAATAGTAAAAAATTAGAAACAAAATCCATATCCTTGGTCAGGAAGATGGAATAGGCGTCTCCAAACTCCCATCCCTCTACAGAAACATCAGAAAAAGATAACCAGAATCTCAGAACCAATTTTGTCTGAACTCTGGAAAAGGTTTACAGCAACCAGTCAAATGCTGAATCAAGAAAAAGGCAACTTAAAAACAGTAAGAAAGTTTTGTGGCATTTTTACTTGGCCTTGCATCACCCTTTCTCAGCTCAGCAGCAGTCTTGAAGATGGCAGCCTTCGATGGCAGCCCATGTTCCCCGTGTGCATCCCTGGTCCCTGGTTCCAGAGGGAGCAGAGCAGACCTTATTTGCGGAGTATTGTGCTTATCTGTTTTAACCTGTCTGGAGGGCTACCTGAAGGACTGATGCAAGGTGCTCATCTCTGTTTAGTCTAACAGAAGAGTCACAGGCATTGCTCAAAAAACACTGTAAAATAGAAAAACCTGCAGCCATCTGGGCAAAAGATTATGGTTGAGACATACAATAGACTGCCTAAAGCCTGAGAAGAAAAGCCAGGGAGAAAGTTTCTTTGGGAAATTAGGGCATTCAAAAGCACTTGTGTATACTGGGGAATTTAGAAAGTCACATGCATGCCCAGGACAGGATGCACACTCAGAAAAGACCTGAAAAGACCCCAAGCTTTCACCACTGGCTGATCTCTAGCCTCAGTGCAAGCAGGAAGCGAAGGCTGTGTCAGAATTGTAAACAGCCTGGCTAAATGTTAAGGGGCTTCCTGGCACAAAGCCAATCCACAAAGACTAGGAGAAGTTGTTGTTGTTGTTGTTGTTGTTGCTGTTGTTTTTAAGCTCCTGGTGTTCAAGGAAATCTCATTTAAAAAAAACTGGCTGAACATAAATTAAGTCTTCAGCAATCAAGAACAGCAAATCCTGAGGAAGGGGAATACTCTGGTTTCAGGAGTTACCACATTGTAATATTCAAAAGTCCAGTTTTCAGCAAAAAAAATCACAAGGCATACATGGAAACAGGAAACTCATGGCCTATTCAAAGGAAGAAAATAAATTGACAGAAACCTCTCCCAAGAAAGCCCAGGCATTGGACTCATTAGACAAAGACTTTAAAACAACTATCTTAAATATATTCAAAGAACTAAAGGAGACTATGGACGAAGAACCAAAGGAAATCAGGAAACGACATATGCAAAACATGAGAATGTCAGTAAAGACATAGAAATTCTAAAAAGGAATCAAACAAATTCAAGAGCTCAAAAATACAGTAATTAAAATGAGAAAATCATGACAGGGTTCACAGCAGATCTGAATGTGCAGAAGAAACAATCAATGAACTTGAAGATAGGACAACTGAAATTATACAGTCTGAAGAGTCAAAAGAAAAAATAATGAAGAAAGGCAAACAGAGCCTTAGGGACCTGTGGGACACCATAAAGTGGACCAATATGTGCATTTCAGGAGTCCTAGAAGAAGAAGAGAGAGAATGGGGCAGAAAAAATATTTGAAGAAATAATGGTCAAAAACTTCCCAGATTTCATGAGAGACATGAATATACACATTGAAGAAGCTCAATGAATTCCAAGCAGGATAAACTAAAAAAGATCCACACTGAGACATACTAGGGTCAAACTCTCAAAAGACAATGTTGAAAGCAGCAAGAGAGAAGTGACTATTTATGTACAAGGGTTCCTCAATAAGATTAACGGCTGATTTCTCATCAGAAGCCATGGAGGCTAGAGGGCAGTGGGATGACATATTTCAAGTACTGAAAGGAAAAAAACTGTTAACCAAAAATTATATATCTGGTAAAACTATTCTTTAAGAATGAAAGTGAAATTGAGACATTTCCAGATAAACAAAAGCTGAGGAAGTTTGCTA